TAAGGGATTTTAGTATTAAAATGTCAACCATTTCTGGAGAACGTTCTGTTGTTATGAACGATCTTGTAGCAGACTAATTGCTTTAGGGTATACCTTACTCCCATAATACTAGTTTCATAATAGAGGCTTTTTATTCCTAGACTTAATTGTATCAAGTATAAATATTTATGATATATTAAAAATGTAACAGTAAAGTTTTATCGGTTAACTTTTGTCAGTGAGGGTTGGGGACATTTGAAAATTGCACTTAAGTGTCGGATAGGATTCTTTGGATTTGTTACTGATTCTATAAGAGGAATTCAAAGCTTTGAATGTCTAATTTCCTGAATAATTCTGAGATTTCTGAAATAAATGCATCTTTGCTTTATGCAAACAAAATATATTTAATTAATCATAGTGCAATTTTATGCACGCTTTTCTTAGTTGAAGTTATTTACATGCTGGTCTACCCGAGAAAAAGCCTCACCCTGTGTGCAAGAGATAAAATTAATCAAACCTCTATGGAAAGCAAGAAAAAACTTACCACTGAAGTATTCTTTCACTTGGAACTTGGATATTTAATCACTTCAGCCATGAGCTTTGTTAAGAATTAAATTGAACCAGATAATTCTTCTAATAAATTCAAAGCAATGTGTCCTCTTAATCAGAGTGCTTGTAGCATTGTTGTCCTGAATTTGTTTTGACCTGGCCCTATTGGACGTGAAACACGCCACAGATCAAGTCCGTGTCGTGTAGTTGGACTTCATGTCCCTGGTGAGAATGTACCTGAGGTCTGCTACGTGCTCATACAATTGGGTCAAGCGGCATTTAGCGCTGTGCAAAAAGTGTTTATCTTTTGTCCCAGAATCCAGCCAGCTAGGACCTGCATCAGTAGAAATTGGCTGCCTGAGGATTGCATATTTGGCTGGCGGGCTGTGCATATACGAAGCACATTTATCACTGGGGCTTTCTTTTTAAGACCAGCTGTTCTCCCAGGACCCAGACCAGCCATGTCAGCTTCAGCACGACCTGGGAATTTGTCAGAAATGCTGACTCTCTGAATCAGGCTCCAGAGGCGGGTGGTTTCACAAGCCTTCCAAGCGAAGGTGAAACTGACTTCCACTAAAGACTGAGAGCCCGTCTTTGAGTTACTGCCCTGACAGAAATCATCGTGGTTTTTGGGGTATCAAAATAACCACTGAGCATCTTCAGCTGTTTGTTCTGTCCACTTCTGTTGGTGATTTGAGTATGCTGTTGTTCTTTATCCATAACCCCCTCCCCACACACACACACATTTGAATCCCCGCAGCATGTCAGGTACTGGCCCATAGTAAATGGATACGTACAGCAGAGTCCCTCTGCCGATGCACTGCTGAAGACTCCCTGTGCTCCCGGACGTCAATCCCAGGTACCCTCGAGGAAGCGAGGCTGGGCCGGGGGTTCTCCAAGTTAGCTGCCTTCAACTCTGAGTAGCTTCCTCCATTTCTTCTAGAGTGCCTTACAAATATCATTTCCTATGTGCTTAGTGACACGAAAAAGGTTGGAAAGAACTAATACAGAGTACAGACTTCGAGTCAGACTGAGTTCCCCTGTGTGCAGGCCGTGGCAGAGCGCCTGCTCCGTGTGCTCACGGAGGAGGAGCGCCTTCCCGGCGTGTGCAGAGGAGTTCATGCGTGATCAATGCGAAGGTGGGAAAGCTGTGG